ACTGAGGGTTGTTCCTCTAGTTGCTCTGCAAATCGTCCTAAATGGATCCTTATCAAATGGATCCACGTTATTAGTTTTAAGTGTCCTAATGATTTTCCTGGTGTGGTTTTTCCAATTATCATAAATATGATGGCAATAATCAAAGGCTGGCATGACTTGAACATAGATACTAGCAATGTGCGTGTCGTAATGGACAAATCAGCGTAGGACTTACTGTTCTATTAATATAATTTTATAATAAATAATCGTATTGGACGATTAATTCTACGTTTTGACGCATAGCGAGTTGAATTATTCCTTTCATTTGAAGACTAGGTTCGTCGTTAGGAATGTCTGTGGATGAAATGGTACATTGCATTTATCAGCCCACTGAGAAATATTTAATCAGCCCTCTTTGAATACATTTGCAGTGGCATTTGGATCATCTACGATTCTATGAACAGAAGCATCATCATAAAAAAAACAAATATAATTATTACTTTCATTTTACCATGAATATAAACTGGGAAGGAACACCAGCTATTACATAAATATATATTAACTTGACTCTGCTGCCTGTTTTCATAGTTATTACCTGACTCTTGGCTGTTTTCATGGAAATTACCTGACTATTGTCTGTTTTCATGGTAGCTGCTCAACCACATAAATATGTCATCGATAACACATATTTTAAACAACATTGATGTCTTTAACCGAAGTCTGCTAACATCGCCAAACCCACCCCACCCCCACCCCCAACCCCCAAAAACCTCAAAACAACAAAAACAAAAACAAAACTACAACAAACCATTCTTTTTTCCTTCCTTCTATCCAAAGTGTTAATTAAATCGTCCTTCCCTTCTGGTTACTTTATCGGCGTCGGGTATCCTGTATTGGCGTAGGGCTTGAATTTGGTGTCAAATAGTCATTAAATAAATTTAGTAACTGTCCAAGTTTCATTATATGGGATACAATTGTAATGTTAAGATATTTAATGTAATGAAAGATGCAGCTAACGTTTGTTGTATTTTTCATAACATGTTTAACAAGCTGACACTATGTTTTGGTGTTACAGTTGCTATTTGTTGGTAAGTTTATCCCTGAGTAAAAATATCTTTTATCTTTCTACGTGGTGAAGACACTCTGTTTCTTTGCAATCTAAATATGGCCACGTTTGCGGTTATATTTCTTTAGGCTGGTTATATTAGCGAATTTTATGCTGAAAGCTCAACAAATGTTGGAAGTAACATATGCGTCATCCATTCATATCAACTTCTAGATTTAAAAGTATCACCTGTATTAACAATAGCCCACACTATGTAATCTAGAATCATGTCATCATTTGAATACACAAACATTGTGAACCTGTGTACAGACTTCTTAACATATGTTTAACACTGGTTAAGGCAGTGTAATAATGTGTCTCTCCTGTGATAAGGTGTGGGATGGGAGAGAGAGATTCCTGTGATCTTTATGTATTAATACATGACAAAGCTCACAACACATTGCGATCCAGCACACCTATCTCGCGGTCCAAATCAACGTTAGACACCATCAGTACATGAGCTGGATACATGCATGATTCTAGTTGCTTCAGTAGCGATTGAAGTCCAAAGGATTTCTAAACGATCACGTTTTCGACAATTTTCAACAATGATAGGTAGATCGGATATACAGATAAGTAGTGAGTGAGTTAAAATTTATAGTCACATCGGCAATATTTCAGCCATATTGTGACTTAAAAAGTTATAAATTAACAATAAACACAATTACATTATAAAACACCTGTCGACGAAGGACAGTAAAACAACTAGATTATCACAGGAATAAAATTTAAGACTAGTAATTAAATCTGAAATATTTTACCTATAAATGACAATACAATATAAAAACCGGCTATAGATTGCCAACAACTGAAGGTAGATCGTCATACTAGGGACCATGGGGAATTACAGTTCATTTGCTTCCTGCATGGGCCATACCTATAAGTAACATCCCCGATATATTGTTTAAACGTATTAAGACAGTGAATAGTGTATACCATGTTTATTCCTCTAACATGCGGACAACGCGTGAGGCAACGCGTGATCAGCACGTTGATCACGCGTGTTGAACCCGTTCTGTATACCCGTGGGTAGGGACTTGGACAAGGGTATGCACTCTCTGACACACGCGTTTCGGACGGAACCTTCTTGGTTGGAACATATTTTTATTGCATAAACGAAATCTAGATGGGCAAACAAGCAAACCATTGGACGCAAGATCAAAGGCGCCGCCCGGTAATTATTAGACAAGTATCAGCGTCGTCTATTTCAATTTCAACCAGCAACCCACACTGTGGGTAAGAGTTATCAACTTCTATATTCTTAGAAAACCTACAATGGTACACTGGAAGCAGTACATATACAATATTCAGGTTTTAAACTAGGCAAGATAGTTTGTATTATATTCTGTAATCAGACTATGAAAACGAGGTAAAGATAAGAAGACCATTTATTTTAGTTTTACACTCTATAAAAGGACTAAGTAAAGATGAGGTCAATTATGTTTGTTTAACATTCTGTAAAGAGACTGTAAAAACGAAGCGAAGACTCTGTTGTGTTGGTTTTATGTTCTGCACAGATGCTATAGTACTCAGGTAATAACTTGTTCCTTTCTTGTTCTAAACATACCCTCTCAGAAACAGTGTGATATTCCTCACCTACGGCTGTTACTTCCATCGTCGATCATAAAATGGAATAGTACTCGCAAGCTCCGCTTCAGCTGTCAGCGTTGACGTACCAGTTCTAAACGCATGACTGAAATTGTAATAAAATCTGACATAGTTTTAAAACAATCATTCGTCTTACCCTTCTGGTGTTGTCACCTTGTGATGAACGATCTGTCGCAATGTGTTCAGCTTGGCTAAAGTGCTATTGGTATGATTTATCAGAATATATTATAGACCACATTTATTGAAAGTGAGTGAGTGAGTAAAAATTTAAAGTCACATCGGCAGTATGTTAGCCATATCGGGACTATGAAAGTTTTATATGTATAAAAGAATAAAAACATACTTGTATATTTATCTGTCTGCAAGGGACAGTAAAATAACTAGTCCATCACATATATACACTTAAAACTAGCATATAAACACAAAACACGATTACTATAATCTTCAACAATACAATTATATAAAAATGGGCTACAGGTCGCCAACAGCAGAAGGTAGATCACCATACTAGAGACCATCGAGAGGTACTTTTGCTAACTGCATGGGTGAGTGAGTGAGTGAGTTTAACGTCACATCGGCAATATTTCAGCCATATCATGACGAGAACATATTTGACATTGGAATGAACCATGTGTATATTATATAAACCTGTCGTCAAAGTACAGTAATACAACTAGAATATCACAATAAGAGTTAAAACTAGCGAGGAAAGTTAAAACTCATAGCACTATTTGGACAATACAAAATAAAAACAGGCTATAGATCGCCAACACCTGAAAGTAGAACACCATACTAGGGACCATGGGGACTTACAGTACCTTTGCTACCTGCATGGACTCTTGTTGGATTCCCTTCAGATGTCACCGATTTTGCCAAATTTAACCAAATTTTAATGAACACATATCCTACTATTAAAATCATGATACGGATATATGTACTTTGAATGACATGGTCTTAAGTACCCTCACGGGACGACAATAAGTTTACGCTCCATCAACCCCCTTTAAGGACTGAAAGAAACAGCCAGGTTGCTGTGACAAACTGAAACTGATTCCAGTAAAGTAACTTACTATTTAGGGCGACACATATCTTTCCACATCCACAATAAACCTCTGTTAAAATCGCAGCTAGTCGACTGTATTTGTTTTAAATATTGGATATTTATATAGCGCACATATCCACACAACTCGTACATGCTCAAGGCGCTGGTATTTTTTTCCTTCGATCATTGGATGTCAATCTCAACGGCACATCGTATTATCAATCTCAACGACACATCGTATTATCAATCTCAACGACACATCGTATTATCAATCTCAACTTCCTGCGGAGTATACAACTCTTGCAGCCCCTAGGCGCACAGAGTTAATGTGGCTTTCTTATCCCACTTTCATATACCAACGGATTCGTGGGTTCTTTTAAGTGCACAGGTTTGTGTACTGTACACTAGGGGTTGTGACAACACTGAAAGAGTCTGCACACAAAGTTAGACTCCAAGGTTGTTACACCCGGTCACAGGTGGGCTCGATTTCGACACCTCAACCTCGCTGGATCACTAGCCCGGCGCCTTAGACAGCTCGCCCACCGCGCCCCCACTGTGTAATTTTCAATATGTTATGAGCTTAAATGTATAATTACTACACCGGTGCAATCCATCAAAGTGACATGCAAAGTCTAGACTTCTCCCTTCCCCCAATAAAATAAATAAAGAATGAATGAATAAATAAATAAGGATAACGTTATATAAGAATAATAATATATAAGAATACAATGAATATGAATATAAAATAAATAAGTATAAAATAAATAAAAGAACGAAAAGAACCACAGAGCATATGGCACAAGTCACGTTAAGCACTGACACTTCAAATTTGGAAATATCCTCTCCATGACTACTATGTAAAGCTTTAAAAACTTGAGTCCTGATGAATGTTGTAACCTTGACAAAGCAAGTTCTGAGTCGCATGACCCTCTTTGCACTCTTGTTAAAATAGCATACTCGATTGTACCTTAAAGGATCAGGTCTGTGTGATATCAACCATGACAAAGCTCTGACCACAGACTCTCGACTGAGCTTAAATATCAGATTCAGTTTCTCAAAATGATGATGGGTGGCGAATATTTGATATATATATCCTGTATAGCTGATATTCCAATAAAGACAGACGGGTATTCTATCTCAGGTTGGGATCATAACAAGTCCATTACCCTGGTTAATGATATTCATGTTGGTGACATTCTGAACACACTCTGAAGGGAATCGTTCATCCAACAAGTCAGACCGGCATTTACACGGGAGAGGTACACGATGGCAGACGAGGTAAACAGTTTGGTTAAGTTCTATCTTACAAACTAGACCAAATTGATAAAATAGAAATATCTTAATCGAGAATGTGCCACTTTATCCAGTGATTATATTGACGTCTCTGTCGTTAATGATCATTATGCATCACCACAGGTGTTGTAGTGTTGTTGTCTGGTTGTTATCTGTTGTTAACAGGAATCGCGACGAATGTTTATTAATATGGTACAACCGGGCCTTAGTTAACCCATTAATGTGACATTGTAAATATTCCCATCGGGGTAGACTATTATCTACTATTTGTATGTACTTGTATATTTATTTTATTATCATTGTGCAACAAAAGCGTTCTCTGTAATGTTCATATCTGATGATTTCCCGTCAACATCAACAAACAGCTTCTGAAGCAGATATGTCAATGACATGCAAAATACAACCGAGCCATACAATCGATTAATGTGGCATTGTGTATATAGACAAATATATATAATTTATATATACTAGTATATTTATTCAACGAATCCTGATAGTAAACAAGCCAAGAAGGTGTAGGTTAATACATCCCCAGTAAAGGTTATTTTCTTCATAGAGATATTACACAAATATTTAACCGATTACATGGGCGTGGTATCTATTTCGTAGCTTTGAAAACCACAACTGTGGATTTGTTTCTATCAATTTAGGAAACACATATGGGAATTGTAGAAATTCCGTAACAATGACTTTGTTTGTTTCGGAAAATTCAGTAGCAGATGAACCGTGTCCATGAAGTATTTGATGTAAAATTTCAATTTTGGATTTTATTTGGGTTTTATCATAGCAACAGCAAAAATGTTAATATTTGAAAGCATGGTGTTGAAGATAGTAAGAACGTCGTGCGAAATACTGTGAAGCAGAAGGTTCACCTTACTGAATGCATCGTACGGGATCTGCAAGACGTTCAGATAGGTACGTTTCACGACACTAGAGACGAGGGGTAGCCGAGCACCTTTGAGGCTAGGAGGGTCCAAGTGTGGCGTTTCTAAAGATCTATCACCGGTGATGAACACATCAACACCTCAGGCCACCGATTACTTCAGAGACAAACTGCATGATCTTATTTTGAATTCGAAATAATTCAGATGTTGGGCACAGACACATATTCTCAGTGGGGAGAGACTTCACTGCCAGGACTGGTGTTCTCAGCGACCAAACAGAAAACGACATAGCTGAGATGATGGAGCATGAATGTGTCCCCGATGTAACAGACAATATTACCACTGATAGAGACGCTTATGGTTGTACAGCGAACCGTACACGGACTTCTTTTAAACCTATGTCCTGTTCTCAGTATGTCAATCTCCAGTATGAATTGCGGCTTAGATCTGGGATTAAGGGATTTAACATTCATTGGCCTTCTGGGTCAAGTGTACTTGACTATTTTATTGTGTTAAACTCTCTTTAATCTTCTGCAGGCACTATGAATGAGCAAACTCATTATAAATTGTAAATTATAAAATGCGGTTAACCTGAAAATAAAAAGCGCGGGTACCCGGGACACCCAACAGATCCACGGATGAGTTACGTTGTTCTCGGTTCAGCTATCAATGTGTGTGTGAGTGAGTGTGTGTGTGTGTGTGTTATGGGGGGACATCAACAACATCAAAATATGTTAACACATAAATGTTTTAAAATTTGGAATTGTGCTAGATACTGTTACTTGAAATGCAATCATGCTCGATACTACAATTATATTTTTTTCTAAGACCCTCTCTGAAGTTGCCAAGTGTGTATGAAAGATCGTGCTTCTGAGCTAAGGTTCGACTTTCGAAAGATATCTCTTATAGATAATGGTGGAATATTGCCAGTTTGTCTCAACAATCTTTCCCTTTGATAAAAAGGGGCTTCAAGATGAATGTATGTACAGCTTCATCCAACCTTCCAATTATTAAGATGTCATGGTCTACTGTACTAAAAGTTCCTAATTGTATAACTGGAGAGACACCTAACATATCCGTTTGGAAGCCATGTGGAAACCCACCTGAGTGGGTTAGACCGCTTATGTTGTGTGAGGGCTATTATGCGAGGACTCTGAGCGTGTGAATTCGAATCCCGGATGAGACACAACCTAACCAAAGTACTAGAATCTGTAATTTTCCGAGGAAGTGTAATAAAAAATATATGATATGTTAAATTAGTTTATCGATTTTTTTCAAGCCACGGTAATATAGCTGTAATATTGCGAACCATCGCGGTAACCAATATACAAACTCACATCATTTACAGATTCCCGATATGTGATAGAAACAAATTATTTTCACTGATGAACACATCAATCCCATCCACCGCCAACTCAACCCTACTGTTCATTCAGCATAATTCATGTTTTCATGATTCCCCTTCAAAGTATCTGGTTTCACAATGTGTACCCCTTTCTACAATTATTCCCAAATTATTTATTCACCAGAAAGAGAAGGTTGAAGAGAGAGAATCCTGGGGAAACAAATTCCAATTCTTGCTGTCCTGTGTGGGCTACTCTGTCAGCCTTGGAACCGTCTGGAGGTTCCCCTACCTCTGCTACAGGAATGGAGGAGGTATGTATTCACGAGTCGCTGACTCATACAACCAGTAAATGAAATTGCAAAAACAGTTTGGTTTGTGCATCAAATGCCTGTCCCAGGATATCACTCTTTACCTTAAAAAGAACAACAGCTCGTTCGGTCAACACTTACTCCTCTCCGCGAATAGCTGCAATATTGTTGATGCGGCGTTACGCAATATTCACCCACTCACTCAGCAATTACTCACGTTTCAAGATGCCTTCACAAAGGTGGTGCTGGTATGTGCAGCATTTACTTGAAATGCCACCACGGGGTTTGACGAATATCGTTGCAATTCTAACCCGGCACTGGTTATAGTGTATCTGTAACCTATGGAATCCGAGAAGGGACATTGTCGCTATGTCGCATTGTCGCCATCTCAAAAACAAGTAAAGTGAGGCAAAATAAACCAAAACGCGACAACGCGACATTTCGCCCATTTGTCGCATTGTCGCGATGTCGCGTGTCGCGTTTTGAATAATATTTTGCTATTCCTCCAAAGGGCGACACGCGTCATAGCCACAATTTTCAAGGTCAAAATATGTCGCGTTGTCGCGCGTCGCCCTATCTAAGATGTGTAAAAAGAAGCCTAAAAATTCACTAAAACGCGACAATGCGACAAATGGGCGAAATGTCGCGTGTCGCGTTTTGGTTAATTTTGCTCCATTTTGCTTGTATTTGAGAGGGCGACAACGCGACAATGCGACAACGCGACAATGTCCCTTCCAGGATTCCAAATTAACCTGTCTGGATGTTTGAATATAGTCACTAAAAAGTTCTCTAACGGACAGATGACCGTCACAGCTGAAAAGATTTTAATTTACTTTATAATTATATATTAATAAATAAAACAGGTTAATTAAAATTTTAAAACTTAAAGTGATACGTGCCATATTTAACTAAGATGAAGATATTACAACATCAGTGTTACCAGGAGTATCCTAGCAACAAGAGCGTGCTTATAGTTTCTCCACCTTGTTTGCAGCCACGTTCCTCATCCCCTATCTGATAATGCTGGTGGTGGTAGGGATGCCGATGTTATTCATGGAGCTGGCTCTTGGCCAGTTCGCCTCTGAGGGACCGATCACTGTGTGGAAGCTCTCTCCTGCATTCCATGGTGTGTTCAATGTCATTTATAACACATCCGTACTACATATACATAAACAAGCGATTCTGGTAGAAATGAGCATCACTATGCATAATTGGCAAGATGAAATTGACATTGTTGACTGAATCTGGAATATTAGAACTGAATTTCACATCTACTTAGTAAATATTATCTGTCTTGTCTGTGAAATCCATTATTCTACTGATAAAATACACAAGAACATTGTCAATAAATGCATATTACCTAATACCAATGATGGTTCCAGGTGTTGGGTTGGCAATGGTGATCACCAGCGCCATGGTGTCCATATATTTCAACGTTGTCATCATGTACGCCGTCTACTACATGTTTGTCAGCTTCGTCAACCTCGATCACACAGTTCCCTGGGGTTCATGTGGCAATTCCTGGAACACCAACTCTTGCAGGACCGATCCCTATCCAGCGTTGTCGTCCATGACCGAAGATAACAAAACAATCACTCTGTTGAGTAAGTGTACGAATACCATTACAACTAAAATATGATTTCCAAATTTAAACGCTAAGTATAACCATGTGTTCGAATTGTACAGAACTAAATTGCATAACCGTTACATATGAAATCGTGCATTTGAAATATGATTTTCGTCGCACTTCCCTTCACACACACACACACATCAGAACTTGTCTCATATTCACACACGCACACATCAGAACTTCTCATATTCACACACACACACACCAGAACTTGTCTCATATTCACACACACATCAGAACTTGTCTCATATTCACACACACATCAGAACTTGTCTCATATTCACACACACATCAGAACTTGTCTCATATTCACACACACACACATCAGAACTTGTCTCATATTCACACACACACATCAGAACTTGTCTCATATTCACACACACATCAGAACTTGTCTCATATTCACACACACACACATCAGAACTTGTCTCATATTCACACACACACACACACATCAGAACTTGTCTCATATTCACACACACACACATCAGAACTTGTCTCATATTCACACACGCACACATCAGAATTTGTCTCATATTCACACACACACACACACACACACACACACACACACACACACACACACACTTAAAAAGCTGTTGACCTAAGCTTTCTAATGGTTTGTTTTCTTAGTAAACTACGTGAGTAGTATCGGGATATATCGTCTCTTGTGGCGATACATCGATGTATCATGGACCCTTGCGATATAAATATCCTTATATATTGCCTAAGTGTGTTTTGTATCGATGCACTCCTATCGCGTAGTTGACGATGCAAACATCGATACTATCGATAAATCGTTACACCATTATTGGCCACCGCATCAGGGCAAATCATAATCTAAATACAATAACAAAGAGCAGTAATATGTCCATACAAGAGATGGGGCATAAGTCGACTCTAAACCCTAGCCTAGGGCTCTCCTATACAGAAAATAGCTACACAGTATATACTTGCCTTGTTGCTATGGTCAATACAAAAACATTTCATCACTATCACTCTTTGAAAACCAATGTACCTAGGTGCTCATAGTGTCAACAGACCCTTCCTTTCACAGTTGTCTGAGAGCACATTCGTTTAGTGCCGTGAATAGGTGCCATAATTTCCTTCTCAAGACAGTAACTGTTATTCGTTCTCTCAGTTTGTCATTATTATTCCCCCTATTACAGACGTACTATACAAACAGCCATGTGTACACGGTCTCCTCAGCAACATCTCCGACGTCTACAACTCCACCTTCAACAGCACCGACGACCTCCACTCGACTATGATCCAGGACGACATCACCAAGACATGCCTTATCAAATACACCACAGCAAGTGAAGAGTACTGGGAGTAAGAATAGATTTTGCTACTGGCAGAATAATCTGAGTTCAGGCCTGTTTGTCCAAACTTTCCCAAGTAAATACTGACAAAATTACAATGATGCTATAATAATATTGTTATTAATACTTATGCCAATTATATTTTAGACGTTATGTACTTCGTCTCCATGAATCTGATGGCTTTGAGGATTTGGGTGGCTTCAGTCTGAAGAACACCATGTGCCTCTTTGTTTCCTGGCTCCTGATCTTCGTCTGTCTAAAGAAAGGAATCAAGTCATCCGGCAAGGTGCTGCAACACAAATACATGTTTTAAATCTCCGGTGGATATATACAGCCAGAAACCTGTTTCTGTCACTGAGGTCTTACAGCCATGTGTCATTGACAGTGGAAGAACAGTTGTTTCTTGTGTCGTTTCTTTAAGCCTCAGCGTCATTCATATGTTAATTGGTTTTATCAAAACTTGACTGGGTGATACTGGGTTGTTACTGGGGATGGAAAACGGCAAATGATCTGTAAACGGTTCATCCAAATGACATGATGATGTCTATTTCTTCCTCTGGTGTCTATATCCCGTCAGCAGATATTAAGACACTCGTGTTTCCTCCTCAGATCGTGTACTTCACCGCCACCTTCCCCTACGTCATCATGCTGGTGCTGCTGGTGCGGGGCCTGACGTTGCCAGGATACGAGAAGGGCATCGCTTTTTACATGACACCCCAGGTCCACAGGCTGACAGAGGCCAAGGTAAACATACTGCGTGGTGATTGAGAGCTCTTGGTTATTCGTGGTCTTTTTTGAGCTGCTGAGCTGATTTGCTTGAGGTGCAGCAGGTGAAGTGAAATCAAACACATCATTTCATGTAATTGCTCTAACTCTAAAGAGTCTTAATAGCAAAGAGGATCAATTTATTTGATACATGGAAGTCTCTCACGGTTTCAGAATTTAAGGGGCGGTGGGTAGCCTAGTGGTTCGTCTCGCCGAACACTCGGGTTCGATTCCCCACATGGGTACAGTGTGTGAAGCCCATTTCCTATTTAGGTCTCATGGTCGTGATATTGCTAAAAGCGATTTTATCTACCTCAAGAACAGTACTAAGTCAAAAGAACTTTCAGTTTCGTCCGTTTCGGTTTCGGAAAATACAGGCTCATAGAGGTGGAACTATACATTTCCATTTAGCTCACTTCCTCACGACGCTAGCTCAGTTCTTTGAAACGTGATTAGTACTTCTGTCTCTAAGGATGAACCTTCCGTTTTTGAAATTCTCAAGGTTATCTGATACGAACATTTAAACAGAAAATTGCATAGTCCCTTATTTGTACATTCTGAAATACATCACCAACTATCCAGTTCCATGGCTCTAGCCTACAGGACAACAAAGTGACTCGGTACTCCTCTGATGTCTTTGTTTCCGGTGACATAGTCAGAATACTGAAAAGTTTGGGATGCTGCAAGCATCCTTGCAATAGACTCTTAATTGATTGTTAGTTACAGCTGGTTAAACGATGAACTTGACATGGTGGTTTTGAGTTTTTGCAACAAATCAAAGGATGACATTTCAAAATAGAATAAAATAGTTCACCTGGTTCCAACATATATGGCATGTAAACTGTTTGGCAAACGAAAGTATACCGTCATGTTCGCAGTGGTTAACCATAACAAAAGATACCTATTTAATTCCATGACGATACATTTGATACATATATCATAGACGACAGTATCTTACAGTACACATACACCATGTTAAGGATCATGGGACTCGCAAGTGATTATGTGTTGGAATTATAAGCACGGACAACAACAGAAGCTGAATCCCAGTTATATTCGACATACATATTATCTGCTGTAATCACCGTTACTCAGTGAAACGTAAGTGTGACAACAGATTCCAACAAATAATTAATATCTATAAAGGTCATGAAATAATGCAATTGGTATGTGTATTTTATTTTTATGGGCGAAAACTACTCAGGACAAGAAATAGATTTTCAGACAATAATATTGATCTTTTCCTGACAATAATATTGATCTTTTCCTGACAATAATATTAATCTTTTCCTGATCAACCATCCACACAACTTCTTTTTCAGTACTGGTGACTGACGATATGACTGAAATTTTACACACAATCTTTATTTAAGGCAAGCGTTCCAGATATTTTCTGGTTACAACTATGAACATTATACATGTATATGAGATGGAGAAGGTGTGGTATATTGTGCAGGTATGGGGGGATGCAGCCACCCAGATCGTCTACTCCCTAGGTCCTGGGTTCGGTGGCTTGTTGACCATGTCCAGCTACAACAAGTTTAAGAACAACTTTGAACAGTGAGTATTCTGGATAACCAACATCTGATTCTATGGAAAGAGTAAGGAACTTTAAACATCAACTCCTTAGCCTATTTTATGTAGTATACATGAGCTGAAACATGTTTAAACTGTTGTTTTCGTGGACTCTTCGTTGCACCATTGAACCGCCATGTTTGAGCGTTCTTGTTTTAATATATTTTTGTCTTATTACAGTGATACTCTCATAGTAGGTATCGTCAACTGTTTGGGGAGTATTTTGGCAGGCTTCATCGTCTTCTCCATTCTTGGATTCATGGCCTACACAACCAATCAGGAGGTCCAGAACGTGGTCGACCAAGGTGTGTAATCTTCAAAGGTTCACGACAATGTGTCAAAAATGAAAGCAAATGTTATTTGAAAGTTACCGAGAAAACAATATGTGAAATGCTTGACTTTCTCGTTGATAACATCTTTGTAACATTTGGGGGTAAAGCATTGCGACAAGAAGCAGGCATACCCATGTGGACACCGACTGTACTCCCCTCTTTGCAGAGCTGTTTCTTGATGCACATGAATCAGAATTTCTGCTTGGTTTGGCGAAATAAAAAAGGTAATTTGGCCAAAACGTTTCACTTAAGCTTGAGGTATTTCGATCATATGGTATCGCCCAATAAACCATAAAATAGTCAACCCACCTGAACTTGCACTTAAGGAGACAAGTGAGACCGCCTCAACTGTTCCATATTTAGATATCATCATAAAGATTCAGAATGACAAAATACTCTTCACAAGGCTGTATGGCAAAAGGGATGATTTCAACGTCCCAACAGTCAACTTCCCTTTCATGTCGAGCAATATTCCAACAGCTCCAGCCTTTGGTGTTTACAGATCACAACTTTTGAGGTATAAGCGAGCATGCTCTGTTTACCAAGGATTTCAAAGAGCGTCAAACCACTCTTGCGCAGAAGTTGTTTAATCAAGGTCACAACATTCAAGACCGCAGTAAAGCTTCCAAGGGTATCGAAATTTGATGTCCGATGCAGTACCCTTTTGTGACTTGTAAATACGTTCCCGCATTATTCAGGTGAACAAATGACTAGACTTAGCATATGTTTATGACGGGTGTCACCGGTGGGGCTGTATACGCTCACCTTATTTTCACAGCAACCCACTATAATGCAGATGAATGACCTTGACCTTTGACATGACATCAATTTGTCACAACTATTTCAGATATCGTTGAATGTCCCAGGGAAGTCAAAGAAGGACATTACATATAAGGCAAGGGGTGCTGGCGGTCAAACGCAAAGCCTTAGCGTCATTTATCTCACCCAAAGTTATTCTCTCTGTTATGCTACACATTGGAATGATTTAAACAAGTTACTCACACCGTGAATATTCATTAACATGCCTTTACTTGTAAACCCTATGGTAATACTCGATCTATGAGACAAGACTGATACAACATAGAACGCCAGTACAATAGACGGTCCAGTCTTGACTTTCCTTAGAAACAAATGATTTTTGGTGTAAAGGGAAAATTAGTTGTGAACATTATGAATGTATCACTTAGAATCAGTGTTGACACCGGGTGCTCGCGACAAAGGTAAACATGTACTGCATCACCGGTAGCACCAGCCATTCTGAACATCTGCCTAAGACTGGAAACACCTCTTCGCCTGAAGAGACACAGCATTACTCCTGACCGACAAACCCCAAGAGATCGATGGACATAAAATCAAGCCATCAATCATTTTGTTTCAGGTCCTGGTCTCGCTTTCATTGCTTACCCAGAAGGCATTGCGAAACTTCCGCTGTCACCGCTGTGGGCCTTCCTGTTCTTCCTGATGCTTGTGACCCTTGGACTTGACACTCAGGTGGGAAACAACTCACTCACCCTGAGTCACGTAGAAAAACAACAATATATAATTTTAACAGTTCTTCATGTTTGTCACGAGTAACCTTACGCTACTCACAAGTTCAATCCTGTTTAACTGATATCGAGATTATTGCCTTTCCCTATATTCCACCCATTGCATATTGGAACTATCTGAATCAGTCCTGGCCAAAGGTTATCATGTTGGATAGGAAACAATGCAGTGACTGCCGCATTTAACCCTATAGTAAAAGTAAACTATATTTCATCTCATGATCTCGTTTATTAAGAATGGATTCCACAATAAACAAGCAAACACATCATCATAACCAGAGTGAAATGTTATTTGCCGTAACTTGCCTTGCCATAGATACACCGTTGTGCAGGAGTTAAAGGGAATATGCATATGCCCGCAAAATGATGACTAAAGAAGGAATACAGGGCCATGTTTTACTTCAAGACAATCACAAGTTCGCCACATCGGTTGTTGTCCCAAATGTGTTAAATGTGGATATAGAAATATATTTCATTTTTGTGTAGTTTGTAGTAGTGCCGACAGTGTTCAGTGGAATCACAGACATATTTCCCCGTTTCCTGCGTCCCCACCGAACAGCCTTCACTGCCACCTGCTGTCTGACTGGATTCATCCTCGGCTTGCCCCAGGTCACTAAGGTGGGTCAAACTAGCATCTGTCCTTATCACAGGTTCCCATTGATCTTTGTTTCTCTAAATCTACAAAATGTCAAAACCCAAAGGTAGGGCATGTTCACTAACTGATCCATGATTAATTGACTGTGTATGTACAGATTAGAAATACACTCAATACCCTTTCAAAAACGTGTTTGAACTTATTTGGGGTTTTTTCCTAGGGTGGTATCTACATGCTGACACTGATGGACTGGTACAGTGGCAGCTACAACCTGATGCTGGTCGCTCTGGCAGAGATTGTCTGTATCATGTATGTGTACGGTATGTACTCTCTGCATTGTTCATCATCTCCAACCACTGTCCTTAGTGTGTTAGACACTGTGGGAGAACGCTGTGATGTGACGTACAGTCCACTGTTTGGGCAGTTGGATATGGGACAAGGTCCTTAACATAACCATTATATGACAGCATCAGTACATTAACTGGTTGATCAAAGAGCATTACAGAAGTGTCACATCAAATAATGTCACATGCGGGTATGTTAACTGGGGAAGAAATCTTCCCACACAATGCATCAGTACTATCAACCTTCACCAAATCGATGTCTTCAAGATTAAAATAACCCTTATTCCCCAAGAGGAATAACTTTTAATTACATTCACAGAAAGTATTTGAGACACATGCTAGACGTTTTGCAATCTCAGAAAAAAACGAGTTCGGTTTTGTCCAAACATTTACACTCTGGTCCAACACATCTAATGACAAACTTCATTTCTTGGTCTATGGGTCATACGTAACAAAACGCTGTGGCCACGGATATTATTACATTTCTATCGTAAGAAGCTCAGAACAGTTTCGCACAAAACGGATGCCAATGCCACCTGATGTACGTAGAAAACAAAATACTGAGGTTCCTCATCAGTACCATCTGTGTTTGGGACCAGACATTTCTTATAAGAAGCAGCAATGCCTACGGGTAGCACAGAACCATTTCATGCCTATCTGTTTGTTTGTGCATACGAACCGAAGTATGTGCATACGAACCAGAGTATATGCTCGGAGCGACTGTGTTAAGATTTATACTCACATCGTCAACATTTCAGCCATATTGTGACTTAAAATAACAATAAACGCAATTAGATTATTAAAAAAACTGTCGCCAAAGGATAATAAATAACTAGATTATCACAGTAAGAGAATTAAAACTCGCAAGTAACTTTTAAGATAAGACAAATAGTACAGACAATACAATATACAAACGGGATGGACATCACCTGCAACTGAAGGTAGATCACCATGCTAGGGATCATGGGGACTTACAGTACTTTTGCTACCTGAATGGACCCTAGCCGGATTTACATCATCCCTTCGGCCGTTTGTGATTGTAGGTAAATTTAGCCATAACTTAAAATAACAAAAATGCTACGTCTTAAAATATTCGTGGAGCTTAATTTACCTTTAATGTTTTGGGACTTACGTACCCCCACAGGAGGACAATACTTTTACAACACTTCATTCCCCTGTGAGAATACAGCCACTCACAATCTCACTTGCTCAATTATACTCCCAAAGATAAAATATGTATCTATTCATAAATATCTAATCTAATATCTAATCATTTATAAAAAAATATGTAAAAATTCTATTTCTTAATGATTAAATGATAATTATCGTTAAAGGTCCTTAACTGTTTGACATCGAAGCAAGGGAATTAGTGCTATATGTATTGATGTTTTCACATAGTTCAGAAGAGTCCAAAAAATAATTCCCTTCCACTTAGATACCAACGTCACCTGGCGATATAGTCGCCTGGTCTGTTTGATATTTAGATTTATGCAAATCTATTGATATTGTTTTATATCTAAAATATGAAGACACGAGGGTTAACCTTAGATATACAATCGTCAATCTGCCCTTTATGCCGGGCAATATTCCTACAGCTGCCTCCTTTTGTGTCTATATTCCTCAATTTCATAGGTACGTTCGACTAAGTAATTTCTAGGAAAGGTATTTAGCGTAAGATTGCTTCACCAAGGTTAGAACATTCAAGGCCTCACCAAAGCTTCATGGAACAAGTGTGCAGGACGTTTTCAAATGAGGTTCCACAGTGGAATGTGTGCTGGTAGGTGTTTTAACTCCCTTATTGCCATATGTTATAGTGTATTCTGGGTGAACAAAACGCCGAATATTATTGCAAATGAGTAACAATTGCAGTACGAAATAGCGTTGCAGTACAATTATTGTGGCTTTATCACTTAAAGTGAGTGCGTGAGTATGGTTTTACAATATTCCAGCAATATCACTGCTTCACACATTGTACTCATGTGGGGAATCGAAAACGGACGCTTTAACCATTAGGCTACCCCACCGCCCCCTTACACGACTAGACCACCTGATGGAACCCGACTCATCTCAACCGTGTAGATCTGCTGATATCAGTGGAACTAATATAACCTTGGTCAGATAACATTACACTACATAACAGGCGGCAGCTGTGATCATTATGTTGCATAACTATGGAAAGAAGGTTTACACTTTACATTTCCAATTGAAAACTTAATACCAAGTTACCATGCCACCTTAACTGGAACAAACCGACACTGTATTTCCTGGAGATATAGCAGTGATATAAATTCAATGCAACAGTTTTTGTTACTTTGTTTTATGGAGGTTTGCGAGAATTAAAACTCGCAAGTAACTTTTAAGATAAGACAAATAGTACAGACAATACAATATACAAACGGGATGGACATCACCTGCAACTGAAGGTAGATCACCATGCTAGGGATCATGGGGACTTACAGTACTTTTGCTACCTGAATGGACCCTAGCCGGATTTACATCATCCCTTCAGCCGTTGGTGATTGTAGGTAAATTTAGCCATAACTTAAAATAACAAAAATGCTACGTCTTAAAATATTCGTGGAGCTTAATTTACCTTTAATGTTTTGGGACTTACGTACCCCCACAGGAGGACAATACTTTTACAACACTTCATTCCCCTGTGAGAATACAGCCACTCACAATCTCAGTTGCTCAATTATACTTCCAAAGATAAAATATGTATCTATTCATAAATATCTAATCTAATATCTAATCATTTATAAAAAAATGTTTAAAAATTCTATTTCTTAATGATTAAATGATAATTATCGTTAAAAGGTCCTTAACTGTTTGACATCGAAGCAAGGGAATTAGTGCTATATGTATTGATGTTTTCACATAGTTCAGAAGAGTCCAAAAATAATTCCCTTCCACTTAGATACCAACGTCACCTGGCGATATAGTCGCCTGGTCTGTTTGATATTTAGATTTATGCAAATCTATTGATATTGTTTTATATCTAAAATATGAAGACACGAGGGTTAACCTTAGATTTACAATCGTCAATCTGCCCTTTATGCCGGGCAATATTCCTACAGCTGCCTCCTTTTGTGTCTATATTCCTCAATTTCATAGGTACGTTCGACTAAGTAATTTCTAGGAAAGGTATTTAGCGTAAAATTGCTTCACCAAGGTTAGAACATTCAAGGCCTCACCAAAGCTTCATGGAACAAGTGTGCAGGACGTTTTCAAATGAGGTTCCACAGTGGAATGTGTGCTGGTAGGTGTTTTAACTCCCTTATTGCCATATGTTATAGTGTATTCTGGGTGAACAAAACGCCGAATATTATTGCAAATGAGTAACAATTGCAGTACGAAATAGCGTTGCAGTACAATTATTGTGGCTTTATCACTTAAAGTGAGTGCGTGAGTATGGTTTTACAATATTCCAGCAATATCACTGCTTCACACATTGTACTCATGTGGGGGAATCGAAAACGGACGCTTTAACCATTAGGCTACCCCACCGCCCCTTACACGACTAGACCACCTGATGGAACCCGACTCATCTCAACCGTGTAGATCTGCTGATATCAGTGGAACTAATATAACCTTGGTCAGATAACATTACACTACATAACAGGCGGCAGCTGTGATCATTATGTTGCATAACTATGGAAAGAAGGTTTACACTTTACATTTCCAATTGAAAACTTAATACCAAGTTACCATGCCACCTTAACTGGAACAAACCGACACTGTATTTCCCTGGAGATATAGCAGTGATATAAATTCAATGCAACAGTTTTGTTACTTTGTTTTATGGAGGTTTGCGAGAATTAAAACTAGCAAGTAACTTTTAAGATTAGACAAATAGTACAGACAATACAATATACAAACGGGATGGACATCACCAGCAACTGAAGGTAGATCACCATGCTAGGGATCATGGGGACTTACAGTACTTTTGCTACCTGAATGGACCCTAGCCGGATTTACATCATCCCTTCAGCCGTTGGTGATTGTAGGTAAATTTAGCCATAACTTAAAATAACAAAAAATGCTACGTCTTAAAATATTCGTGGAGCTTAATTTACCTTTAATGTTTTGGGACTTACGTACCCCCACAGGAGGACAATACTTTTACAACACTTCATTCCCCTGTGAGAATACAGCCACTCACAATCTCAGTTGCTCAATTATACTTCCAAAGATAAAATATGTATCTATTCATAAATATCTAATCTAATATCTAATCATTTATAAAAAAATGTTTAAAAATTCTATTTCTTAATGATTAAATGATAATTATCGTTAAAAAAGGTCCTTAACTGTTTGACATCGAAGCAAGGGAATTAGTGCTATATGTATTGATGTTTTCACATAGTTCAGAAGAGTCCAAAAAATAATTCCCTTCCACTTAGATACCAACGTCACCTGGCGATATAGTCGCCTGGTCTGTTTGATATTTAGATTTATGCAAATCTATTGATATTGTTTTATATCTAAAATATGAAGACACGAGGGTTAACCTTAGATTTACAATCGTCGATTTGCCCTTTATGCCGGGCAATATTCCTACAGCTGCCTCCTTTTGTGTCTATATTCCTCAATTTCATAGGTACGTTCGACTAAGTAATTTCTAGGAAAGGTATTTAGCGTAAAATTGCTTCACCAAGGTTAGAACATTCAAGGCCTCACCAAAGCTTCATGGAACAAGTGTGCAGGACGTTTTCAAATGAGGTTCCACAGTGAAATGTGTGCTGGTAGGTGTTTTAACTCCCTTATTGCCATATGTTATAGTGTATTCTAGGTGAACAAAGCGCCGAATATTATTGCAAATGAGTAACAATGGCAGTACGAAATAGCGTTGCAGTACAATTATTGTGGCTTTATCACTTAAAGTGAGTGAGTGAGTATGGTTTTACAATATTCCAGCAATATCACTGCTTCACACATTGTACTCATGTGGGGGAATCGAAAACAGACGCTTAACCATTAGGCTACCCCACCGCCCCTTACACGACTAGACCACCTGATGGAACCCGACTCATCTCAACCGTGTAGATCTGCTGATATCAGTGGAACTAATATAACCTTGGTCAGATAACACCACACTACATAACAGGCGGCAGCTGTGATCATTATGTTGCATAACTATAGAAAGAAGGTTTACACTTTACATTTCCAATTGAAAACTTAATACCAAGTTACCATGCCACCTTAACTGGAACAAACCGACACTGTATTTCCCTGGAGATATAGCAGTGATATAAATTCAATGCAACAGTTTTGTTACTTTGTTTTATGGAGGTTTGCAGGTAACAAGTTGATCAAGCTGGTATATGTTCAAAGCGAATCATCTGTAAAATCTCACTTCAGACATTAGAATATTCCTCCTACGGGCTGGATGTTTTTTATCGTTCTGTTGGGATCCCCAACACCGGTTTTGGTCTTTTTCTAGTCAGACTTTGAAACACATACAAGAGAGCCCATGCAAGTCTAGAATATGTGGCCAGTCTAGATTCTGCTCCTTTTCATTATATTTTATTATTTTTTATTAACTATATGTTTCTGTAAAATATGTTCGTTTCAGAGACATAATTTTAGTCTAGTCCCCTTCTTGCTGGTTTATCTCTTTATTCACATAAACCGGAAGTTCTGACCGACTGACAAAATCAAAACGAGGCAATATAGTCACGAAGTTTCAGATTCGTCACCGGATCCCTTTCACTCAGACTGGTTCATCCACTTGAAATATTAGAAACCGCTCTTATGTGTTTGTTATTTACATTAATGGGTGAAGGTTTAGAGTTACGTACATTATCCACAAGACTGTAGGACAGGAGGGATAACTTTAAATTAGTCAACGTCTGTTTCATGATGAATAATATTCTAGCAGCCCGAACTCTACATTTAAGAACTTTTGAAGTACGATCGCAAAGTAACGGTTGCAAACCTTTAACGGGATGTACGTCGAATGGTTTTTCCAAATTTGATTGATCAGTGACCAAACTGATGTCATGTTTGTGACGGACGCACCAATGGATGAGGAAACAATCACGCATCAATGATACCAACGGTATTTGATGGTGATTCTTAAATACATATTCATAATACAGATAAACCCGACATGATCCGTCTGCGAAGATTTCAATTAAATAGGAGATACGTGGATGTTTCCAAGTAAAACCGCCTCATCTGTTTATGTAGATCTTTGCCTGAAAATGTCAGTGACCAGCAAATGTTGTTCGTCGCTTTCATTTGTTTACATACAGCATCGAACAACTGTAATGCTGCTGAAACAAATATCTACAGTCACAATTGTACAATCGACTATGCTCTAAGCAGAGATTTCTTATGAATGTGGAAAGGGTTTTGTCGCTTCTAATTATAATTATAATTTTACTTTGTACAGGTGTGAAACAGTTCATGGGGGACATTGAGATGATGATTGGTCACAAGCCCAACCCCTACTGGGTCATCAACTGGGTCTTCCTGACTCCCGTCAGCCTACTCGTACGTATTATGTATTTTCGGGTGTCTTGGAACTATGTCTGTTATATACTGAACAGCAAAAGAAACGCAAGTTTCGAAAAAATGAAATGTCATAAAAAGTAAGCATTCATGTTGATGGAACACATGGTAAAGTGACAAAAAGCCAGACTTGCGTTTCTTTTGCTGTTCAGTATATTTTAAGATAACACTTTCAAAGGAAAGTGCCGATTCTAGTGTGTTTTATTCCTATCAAATCAAATCCGGGATTCGAAGCCAAACTCTCAGAGTCCCGCACCTAATTGCCAGCACACAAAGTCATCCACCTGACCAACTCAGCCATCCCACCTTCATCCCCACCAGTTTACACTTGTCAGACCGGTCTACCTACACCAGACCAAGACTACCAGTTGTCTGACGTCTTTGTGGATTTTGTGATGCCACGGTAGATCGCTGACTTTGCGTGGTGCCTATGAAACGTACTATGATCTGTCTTGGATATCAGACAGAGAAATACAGATGTCTTCAACGAGACAATTAATACAAGATACTGTACACTTATGGAGGTAGGACATAAAATATAGAGTGTTACGGGTTTCTTGATGTTGGGTGTATTTCAGTTCATCATGATCATGTCGGCCACTCAGTACACCCCCGCCAACTATGGCGACTACAAGTTCCCGTCATGGGCTGAGGTGATCGGCTGGTGTATGGCTGCTACTCCTGTTGTTGTCATCATCCTGGTTATGGTGTTCTACATCTACAAACTCGGACCTGTAAGTTTTAGTTTGTTTGTTGTTTAACGCCGCACTCAGAAATATTTCACCTGTATGACGGTTGTATGTGGATAATCGAGTCTGGTTTGTTTGTCTGATTGTTGTTTAACGTCGTACGCAGCAATATTCCAGCGGTCTGTAGAACGCGCGGCCGGAGTGTAAATAAAATTCAGTTCAGTTCAAATGGACTAGACAATCCGGTGACTGATGTCATGAGCATCGATATTTACAACTGGGATACTATACAATACCACTTGTAACCTGTAAATATTGTACCTTGTAAGACTGTATATACAGCTCCTACGGCAGACAGACAGACAAGTTTATTCAGTAAAAGGCCACAGGCCCATCATACAGTCATTTGCATATGGTACAGATAGTTAGTGCACATGCTGTGTAAGAGGAACATTTCTAATGCACTGAAGTACATGATACAGAAAAATACTGACATCTTTTATGATACAGTCATTATGCATCTTCATAATGTTAATAAAATTGGCATTTGGATCAAAATCAGTCTTAAGGAGTACATGATTTCATCCTCAATAACATTTTTGTCATCCAATTTACAAAATAAACATAATCTCTCATTGTAATTAACTTTATTGCATCTTCCAGTTTCAACAGCTAAATTAAACTTACCACATCTAAATTTAGAGAGTGCAGATCTGAGGTGTAAAGGAATATCAGAATTTAAATACCTTTCCACATTCATAAATGTCTTAAATTGGGAATAATAAAAAACATTTATTAGAATTTTGAATTGAAGTGAACCAACATTGTTTAAGATTATCCGAAAGTCTCTGCTTAAACAAGGATATGAAATAATCAACATTGCCAACATCCTGACATCCATGCACAGCCAAACCATACTTAAATAAAATATTTCTGACACAAGTTGCCCAAGTAGTGCGGCCAACACCATCTAAGGACTTGAGCATAATATAACAATGTTTTGGCAGTCTATTATAAGGCATATGCAATAGGTGACACCAGTTTATTACTTTATTACTTTAGTCATATAAGTAAGTTGTAGAGGAAGTCTGCCACAATCACCAAGAGCCATGTTATTACAGGTAGATTTACCAACTTTCAAGAAATATTTACAAAATATTACCTGAGCAGACTTAATGATGCTACAATTGTTAGTACCCCAAATCTCAGACCCATAACACTAAATAGGTGAAACCATACAGTAAAAAATCTTAAACAAGTCTTTGCAATTTACTCTTCCCATCTTTTTTTAAAAACAATTTACAGAAAATATTGCCTTGTTAGCTTGAGATACCAGACAGCTTTGAGCTTTACTCCATACAAGTTTTGGTGTAAATACAAGTCCTAAATATTTATAAAAGGATACAGTGTCAATAGGATTACCATTATAGAACCACTTTTCATATTCCCGTAATGGCCCACCGTTTCTAAAACCAAAAACTTTTGTTTTACTAAGATTAATTGACATTCCAGTTTGTTCACAGAAACCATTCAAGTGCATTTATCTTCTGTTGTAACTGATTACATGTATCAGAAAGTGCAGAAACATTATCAGCAAACATAAGTGAACACAAATTGTTAAAATCAGATGAAACATTAACACCTATACCACCTTCCTGTCCCATTAAGGATGCTCCTACGGCTGCATCCTTGCAACATAAATATCCAGTCAACAGTAACGAGAGTTGGCCTTGGAGTTGTACATTATGTACATTATGGGAAGCCCATTTCTGATGTCGCCCGTCGTGATTTTGCTGAAATGTTGATAAAAGTGGCGTAAAAACTTACTCACTCTCTCCTTGATAGGTATATTCATTATGTTGATCTTGTATATCAATATATTCTTTCACATGTTGTGGCTCTCTCTAAGTGTGATTCACATAACGTCATGATAGCAAGTGTTATTGTCGATTCAGAGGAAAGCCTTCTCTCCAAAGAGCAGCTGGGGACCTGCCAACGAGGAAAACCGGACAGGAAGATACTTCGTCAGTGCAAATGTTCATGGTACTTCTGGAGACGGCATCGACGCCGATAATGAGATGGAGATGCCATCAGTCGACGCCAACAGAGGATCATCCAATCCTGGATACTACAACGATAGACTATAAATACAAACTGTGGACGCCAAAGATCGAGATTGAACAAGAAAACTGTATAGCCAGTTGAGAATGAATATAGTGTTCCTTCATATCTTGACCAAGATAAAACTAGCAAAATGAAGACGTCTTTTCTCTCCTGACTGAAAGGAGTAGGTGGAGATGTACCACACGCATCAGAAAAGCATACTATACTAAAGGCACCGTACAGACAGGACAGTACGGAACACAGGTCCCTGTGTTTGGTTCTGTACTTGAATATTCTAGAAGGCTAGTACCCTAAACAAGTGATGCACGTAGCAGTGGTCAGCAACGTGTTGTGATCAGTCTTCAAGCTGTACTTGTCACCCTCGTGATTTGTGTCGAATTGGAGACTAATCGAACAGACATCGAATAAATCGATTATGCCATGATATATTCTGTTTTGTATGTTCAGAATTAGGACAGTCAAGCAGTATTCCTGATGTGTCCTGTATGTGTGTTTGTTTGTCCAAGTTTCGGTATTGGGATCATTGTAGCATCACGCCATGCAGAAGGACATTTTCCCGACACCCAAACTCTTTCAAAGATATTTGAAAGAATTTCTGAAAATCAGTAGCCATCTGGGCAATCTATACTCAATGTCATTAGGATCAACGTCAAGAGAACGTCTGTTTAAGGGAGGAGGGGTCGAGTTCATAAGCCATGTTTTGAGTTTAAATTTTAATCATGTAGTATCATAAAGACAATGCTTGAAAGAAGTGGGTCTCCAACTTGCAGCACCAAGGATATTCAGATGACGTACTCCAGCAGAAACTCTAAATGATTATTTTTTTCTCTCCCCAATTGGCCCATGAGTCACCGCCTCCTAGGCATTTGTCTGCAGGCAAAAAAGATAAAGGATATTATCCATTTGAAAATCTTAATGATATTGTTTCCTTTGCCAAGACTGAAAAACATATTCTAATAATTTTGAATCATGTTTGTGCAACATCATATCATAGTTTATTTGTTGTTTAACGCCAATGATCAGCAATATTCCAGCTATATGGCGGCGGTCTGTAAATACCGGACAATCCAGAAACTACACTCTGAGCTTCGTTCTTGGCAATTGGAATACGATGACATGTGTCAACCAAGTAGCGAGCCTGACCACCCGATCCCGTTAGTCGCCTTGACACGACCAGCCGATTGACAGAACCGGGCCCATTCTACCATCCGTCTGAGTGAAGTAAGCATCGAAGTGATCTATTGACGAAGGAAACGTTATTCCTGTCACCAGTTCCGTCAACAACCAGAATCACGTCCTCCACCGACACTGGGACGCAACCCATGGCAAACGTGTTACGCAAATAAGTCGCCTTGTGGGGTTGCTGAGGACGTTTTCCGACTCAGGGCCTAGATTTTCGAAGCTCTCTTAGAGCTAAGATAGTCGTAAGTTCATGTTGATGTATGGCACTTACGACTATCTAGGCGCTAAGAGAGCTTCGAAAATCCAGGCCCAGGTCCACAATGGGGAAAGAGCTGTCAGAATTACCCAGCGCTTACCACTGAATATGAAAATAGTCATGTAGTATATATCTGCACATGGAGTGAGTGAGTGAGTGAGCGAGTTAGGTTTTGTACTCACATCGGCAATATTTCAGCAATATTGTGCCTTCTCTGGATTTGGATAGAGAGACAGACACAGACAGACAAACAACGTACAATAATATGTATACAATTTCAATTAGAGTTTAGACAGGTTTCACAAATATAAACTTACGATTCACTGTTCTTCGAAGATTCCTTGCTTTCCTCAATCGGGATGTGGGTCACGACTTCAAACTGTGTTGACACCCAAGGCATGAAAGAACAAAGCATCTGGCCTGAAATAATGCCCATTCTGGTGCAAATACTGTCCGGTTCCTCAGTGCTAGGAAGCTCAGTCTCATACGAATGCCCCACGCTCTCACCACATCGTTCTCCTGTGACAGGTGTAGCGTCTGAATTCTGTTCATCGCGGTATACGACGGAGCCTAATGCATCCTTTTGTGTTGACATCCAATATTTTGGTGTCTGGTCTGAACAACATTCCCAACATTGTCCCATACTCAGGTATGGCCTCTACACGTGTCTGAAAGTAAACACTGGGTTATCACAGAAATATATACGACTTCGTTACAAATCAGAAGTCATGTTTCTGATAAAAAGTTTTGATATACTATCATATGTGGCATGGCCTGTAATGCATATTCATATAGCATAGACGTGTCAAACAAGCAGCGCTGTACACAACATTACCACAGCAATAGGTTTACTTGAACCCAACTTCCTTTAATGACGAAATCAAGGTCTCTCGATTACTATCATTTAGTAAGTGTAAATATATGCTGAACCTTTGCATAAACAACATGACTCCATTTATTATCCATATGGTGAAACATAACCAGTGAGGTGGTCTATGGGTTCTTCACTGCATGACTTGTAGTTCCCAGGAGGAGAGACGACCCAACTAAGTGTTGACGATAAGCCTTTTACTTCCCGAGTGCCAGAGCATCCGGTACGCCACTCACATGCGCATTACATCATATGATGTATAATATTACTACGCTACAACCAGTGCCATATATTTCATATGTGCAAATGTGCTTATATCACTTTTGCCTTGCAACCATTGTTTCTGTATTTCGTCGTCAGTGACGTCATTAAACAATTGACATGACGTCAATGAACAGGGCAGTCACACTTGCTTACCGTGTTTATCTGCACAGATGTACATGAATAAAAGGGATAATAAAGAAATTATTACACTAGCAAGTGTGCCTCAAGACTTATACGACCGCCTCCATGGTGTAGTGGTGTAGTGGTTAGAGCGTCCGCCCGGAGTGCGGAAGGTCGCGGGTTCGATCCCCGAAAACGTCATAGCAAAAGACGTTAAAATATGGTACTTGTTGGTCCCTGTCTGGCGCTCGGCATTAATGGGTACAAGGATTGGTCGGCTTGAAGTCAGTATAATGTGTCCGAGTGGGGTATTCATGCTTCACTGCGGCATGGTATCTCAGTGGGCTAGCACTATAAAACCAGCTTCAGTCTGGGCTAGTACAAGCAGCCGCACATACACATACACACGCATGCACGTAGTCATATGAGCGAAATATTCTCAAGCACGACGTTAACCCCTTATATGAAACTCGTGCAAAATTGTGTATTGGCCTCGCTCTCGATCGGACAATGCAAAATTTCAATTTCTATTTACGTCTTCAGTTTTATCCTCACATGCCTGCCTTGTCTCAATGATGACAGTATGTGCAGGGCTCTCGTGAAGCTAACGTACGTGCCAAGGTGGTTGAAACGCGAGCTGAAGTGGTACCAAACACATAATCAAATTCAATGCACGATTGCTGCACACAAACCTGCCAAACCGCGAACTAGTGAGCGGGTGCTGTGGACTTAAATACATAACTGAGCAAACACATTCACACTGTTAAACGAATTTGTAAGTTGAAAGGTTTCAATAAGCTTCATCCAGTCAAATGTGAACCTTCAAGGGATCTCCTCTTGTCAAGGTGTTCGTCCTAGTTTGTTGGGTCGCTGAGGCGGATCTGAGATGAAGAATATAGCAGGCAATTAAGTGGTATCGTGTACTTGTAAGGCATCAAAACCCTCTTTCAGTTGGTTTTATTCGTTGCTTTTCTAACCGCTCCGATGACCGAATGACAAGATTTAGTTGGTTGGTTAAACGTTGGTTTGTTGTTAACGCCGCACACAGCAATATATTGATTATGTCTGATTTTCCGATCATATTCGAGTATTTCACGTGGTCATGGCACAATAGTGCAATATATCAAACATGGGTCGTTATTCATTTCTAAAGTTCTAATAACCAGTCATTTAAAGGGTTTAGATACATTTCGTATAATTGGTCTTGTATTGTTATATACCATGCTGTCCTAGAATCTATGTATAAGAAACCCTTCCCGCACAAAATCCCATGACCATTAGCAAAAGATTACCACACTTATGACGCCAAAAACACTGGAGGGTATGTATCATCATCAGCAGCTAGCATAACATTCCATAGGAGACCGTATGCTCGTTGTGTGAAATGATCAGAAATCTTTTCATATTGCAAGATTGGAAAAATACATTTTTTAAATATATATGACATGTCTTTATTACAGACTGTCGGTCAGTCGATCCTGACCAGCTGATGCTATAGTTAATGCATATCATTGATATGCTTCTGTGTTGTTGACGAATTGCCCGAATCAATATGGGTGGATGGTTTCAAACTACCGTGTATAAGTCTCCCGTGCAAAGGAATAGTATCCTCTGCTGAAGTTATATGAATGTATCTCTGAAAATCAATGATGGCTTCTGCATCCGGCTACCAGTTCACGAATGTCATTTTGGTCCTTTAAATTCAGTCATGTGGCGCTACAAAATAATTATGTGTCAAATATTCGACGTTTGCAAGGTAATTGGGTCATTTTGAGTGTTAATATAGCGCTGTACGTTATTAACGATGTCAAATATTCCACGATTGAACTGGTTTATTCACAGTTCTGGATTCTAAACGACATCACATTACATTTCACGATACAGCGATTCCAAACAATAGAGGACATTCTGTACGATGGCCATTAACAATGATATTTTTCTATAATGTAGTTCCATACACACAGCACACACAGTGTCTATATATAGTAAACTCATTTCGGTGGACAAGCTGCTCCCTTACAGATGTGCTGCTGTACCCGACATATGTGGGGAGTTGTTTACAGCTGTGGTGACCTTACAACACTCACTATGGATGAGCGATTAAATATGTTTTCAATGATTTCAATTACATTACCCAGTATCCATTAGGTTTCCGCAAGAACGGAAACTAAGTTATTTTTTCTGTGCAAGACATACATCCATAAATGTCTTTATCGAAATTTGTTTTTTCTGCGCCATGAGTATGTGACGGCAAATGAGACTCGGGTGGTGAGTAGGTCACTTTTAAGACGAGTATCGGGAAGTGATACCAGCAATGACCTATATGTTGT